GAACCAGCCTTTGCCGTAATGTGTTTTGGGGTTTGAAAGCCACTGGGACATCATGTTTAGAAAATAAACGTCTCAGTTTCAAAAACACAAAATAAGTATTTATATTTGTGTAGCCTTTGTTTTCAGGGTTATTAACAAAGTTCGTGTACTCAGATCAGTAATATTTGGGGTCACAAGTTTTTGCCATGAATATTTTGTGGGTCAGAAGATAAAAAGTTTGGGAACCACTGATCTACATACTTGTGATAGTGGTGAGGGATAATCAATAACAACAAGGAAGTTCTTACCCTCTAACGCGCACAGGTGCAATCCTTTGCCAGGTGTTGTCTCAAGAGGTTCACGTCTTTGTGTATGTTTGTGCTCTGTGTGGAAGGGAGGAGGAGGCCTACATAAAACACTGCAACAGCATAAGAATACATGTGTGACCACTTGTGCCGCCCACTGTTCAAGAATTTTTTAGATACTGTGATTGTGGTTTTGTTTACACATTTTATTACTTCTTTGTGTTTTACTGACAAACAAAATGATTGATCTCATTTTTGTCCACGGTGAAATAAATATTTTAAAAAAAATCAAAGAAAATCTACGTCATTTTCTTAATGTTTCAGAGTGTGATTTAGTGAGAAGTGACTAACTGGACGTTCTGCTCCTCTGTGCAGCTTCGTCATGGTCCTGGTGTGTCTTATCTTCAGTGTCCTGTCCACCATAGAACAATATGCAGACTTTGCTACTGGAACTCTCTTCTGGATGGTGAGTATTAAACTGGAAAATCTGCAACAAAAAGGATCATCACACATAAAAACTGTAATCACACTAAAATCATGAAACTTACTGTAAAACTGGTCCAGTGTTCCATGGCAGGTGCAGAACCTGTATTGTTCCTCCTAAATCTGAGGTTTGATCAATGACCTGATTCCTCTTCAACACTCCTGAATAGACCTTACCAGGGAGGCTCATTCACACGACAATATCATTGTGCCGATTTTTGGCCCAATTTTCACCTCCGACAGTCTTAAAGAGATCCCCGATTAGTTGTAACATTAAACTTTATTTGATAAACATTTATTTTAATTGTAAAATAAAGACTGTAAAAATACTGTAGGATGTTCAGTTTTTATAATTCTTAAACTAAAAGTTTAAAAATATAATATACGGATGAGGCCATTTTATTTCCACACAAAGCATTCTGGGTAAATGATGAC